TTTATGGTTAGACTAAAGAAATTGAGTCTCAGGGCAAGAGTGAACATCAAAATGTTTATTCAACATTAACAACTTCTCAAAAACATTACACACTTTAAACATTAGTTCTATATAGTTATTCTTATATATCGTACTAAAAACTTTATCTGCATACATTTACTATCTTCTATGACTTCTACACTAGCTGATTAAGAGAGAGATTATACTTACAATAGAGTTTGGATTGTTAGAAGCCTTAGCTATGTTTGTCATCTTCATTTTCATCTCTTTAGCCTGGAGAATACTCTTCAGTCCCCAAAATCTCTTTCAGTCCTGGAGCACTTTTCAGTCTTGAAAAACTTCTTCAGTTCCAAAAATCTTAACTTTTCAGCCTCTGACATGGGTTTTTTAACTATCTTTTCTCTGTATTATTTCGATCTACTAAATAGGACACAGCATCACCCACAAGTAGTCCTGTGCTCCTACTGAATACTGTAGGGGAATTCCTGTGCTAAACCAGAACCAGAACTCTCAAGTAATTGGTCATAGATAAGTGGTGTTAGCTGGCTGCCTATTCACTTGTACTGCTATACCCATGTGCTGTAACTAATACCACCTCAAAGTGCCGATATGACTCACCAAACCTAAACTTTTCTGTAGCTTTCCTAGTTCTAAGAGGGCGAGGTCAACAATTCTTCAAATTGTCATATGTACTGGTGTCTTCATCCTGTTTCTGGGCAGCATTTCTTACTAACTCTGCTGCTGACCTTGGTTACTGGTTTCCAAGCTCATTTCTCAAGCTTACTTTTGTAATACATGTGTCTTGTTGCTTGTTTCTAGGTGATACTCCTTACATAACTAAGTTCCTGTTTATCAATTCTCAAGGCTCATTTTGCAAGCCTATTTTGTAACACAGGCATCCTCTTGTCGCCTCTTTTTTTTGTTATATATATCCTTGACTACTTGCTTATACTAAAAACCCTTAAGTTTTTATTATATGTATTTTCAACAACTAAAACTCTGAAGCAATTTATAAGAATTTTCTCGAAAATTTTTAAATTGCTTGACTTCTTAGTCCACACAATTTTCTTATGTAACAAATAGACATTATTATATCTGAGTATACACCTAATGTTTCATAACCACTATTCAAACTTGTGGCATACTTACTAGCATTTAAGTTTAGTTTCTCACACTTCTGAATCCATACAAGTATTTCTTATGTAGCAAATACAGATTGGTATATCTGAATACACACATAATATTCTCTAGCAACTCTTCAAACATGTGGGCTACTTACTAGTATTAAGTTTTAGTTTCTCACACTTCTCAATTCATACAAGTTTCTTAAGTAAGAAATACACATCAGTATATTTGATTATACAATAAACTTTTATAACAACTCGTCAAACATTTGGTTTAGTTTCTCACATTTGTTAAGCCACACAATTGTTTTTAATGTAAGAAATACAAATTGCTATATATGAGTATACACATAATATTCCCTAACAAGTTTTCAAATTTGTGGGCTACTTACTAGTGTTAACATTTATTTTCTTAGTCCACCAAGTGTTTCTTATGTAACAAATACACATTACTATATCTGAGTATACATATAATATTCCCTACGAACTCTTCAAACCTGTGGGCTACTTACTAGCATTAAAGTTTAGTTTGTTATGCTTCTCAGTCCATAGAAGTTTCTTATGTAAAAAATGCACATTATTATATCCGAGTATATACCTAATTTACCCAACTACTATTCAAGTTTGTAGCATACTTATTAGTAATTAAGTTTAGTTTCTCACACTTCTCAATGTAGACAAATGTTTCTAAAGTAACAAATACACATTATTATATCTGAGATGTATTCACCAGCTGCATTTTTATTTTAAGTTGAAACTTTACATGTATAGTTAATGATTAGTCATCTGTATAACTTATCCAAAGATATAGTATTCACTATCTGTCTGAAAGTGTATTTTATTTAATTTCACATATACATAACTTGAAATATATAACCAGATTGTTTTAAGATACACATAAAATACTATAATATAATAAAGTACATTATGTTTAAAAATCACAGAAAATTCGAAACCTGTAATTATACTAAAAGAAAGGTAATGTGTTTTAAGTACAAAAATTTTATTTACAATTTTCTCAGGAAGTATAAATTGAAATTCAAAAATGTAGATTAGAAAATGTTTACATAAAAAAGGAAGTAACTGTAGGACATTTGGGATTTTGAATAATTTTCTTAGTTTTCAAAGCTTTCACCCTTTCTCTAATTTTTTCGTAAATTTGAAAGTTTTATTTTGAGGTGATGATGTTTTGGTGTGAAAAAGTTAGGTACATTTAAAACTGTACCATTTTATACATACTTGTAAAAAACAGTTTTTGAAATAGAACCAGTCCTTATTTACAGACATACTGTACCTTCAGCATTCAAATATCCTGCAACACATCAGTCACCAAATAAACTAGAGTTTAAAATATAAGTATGTGCCATTGAGCTAAGACATAACTTTAACATAAAGTAAAATGGTTCAGAATAGAAATTACTTAAAGCAAAGATACCCAATGTTCAGTTTATAAACCATACAACTTTTTAAAGGTTACATTTTATAAATGATTGAAAGTTTTTATAATAATGCCTAGTAGAAATAATTCTAAGGTTGTTTTTCCTTGCAATATTATTAAATGATTAAAATAATTGAAACATTGGTATAACTTAAAACAGTGGTTCCCAACCTGGGGTCCCCGGACCCCTGGAGGGCCGCATAGCTAATACCATCTCATTAAACAAGTAAGTTTTTTAATACTGATGTTTTTTTTAATTGCACACTCAGTTAAAAGTGGGAGAACGAGTTAATTATTAGTTAAAAAAAAACAGTTTGTTGGGTAGGCAGAATCTTTCAAAAACATGGGGGCCGTGGGGAAAAAATTTTCAAGAAAAGAGGTCCTTGGTGGAGAAAAGGTTGGGAACCACTGGCTTAAAAGTATGCTCAAAATTCTGGAAAATGTATGTTGTGTGTAGTTATGGCAAAATGTTTTCACTTTAAGTCTCAATTTCACTAATGCATCCATCAATATAAGAACATATTAAAATGAAATTATGCAAGCTGTAATTTGACACAACTACTATTTAATTAAGATGTAAAATAATACATATCAAATTTTTCTTGTATAGATATAAGGACTATCATATCATATTTCAATTACTTTTGGACTTATACTTTTAACAGTGATGCAGTCTAACTAGATACTTCCAATCCAAACATTAGTAAGTTATTCAGCTAATAACACATTTATATGTTATAATAATAAGTTCTCTTCAGTGCTACTTAATTCTGAGTCAAAATAAAGTTGGCTTAATAGTATCAACAAAATCTAATTACATATCTTTTTCCCTGAGTTAAACATTTCAAAGTGCTATTACAGGAATGATTTTTGTAGATGAATACATTTGCAATAGTTATAACATTTAAAATCTTAAAAATTTTAAGTGTGAAGATATATTCAAGTCACATATTGAATGTTACAGTTTCAATAACTGCTTTGTTCACTGTATCTATAAAAACCTATCCAAACTATGCTTTGATAATGAAAATTAGAAATATATATATAACATAAAGTTAAAATATATATTAATTTATCAATAGGAATAAATAACCAAAAACACAAATGCACATAAACGTAAAATCATGAGTTTTTACTTTCTGAAAGTACTTTTGTTGTTTTGTTGAATTTTTTGAGCTGTACTATGAGATTGCTGAAATATTCTTTCTTTCAAAACTTGGCTATTGCATTCAGAAATTTCTGATCCAGTGCCATCATCAGGGTTTTCCTGAGTACACAGAGAAATGGAGCTAATTGAACAGGGTTTCAATAAAAACTTCCAGATTGTCCAACCTAGCAGACCAAAGATACCCAGTATCCAAACATAAGTTATTTTTGTTGGAAGAGGTTTGGTGATGGTTTCCCAGTCAAATTTTGCAATCACCAAAAATTCTGTCAAAGTAATGGCTAAAATAACCCAAGATTGTCGACCCAATTTGTTGCAGTTTCTGAAATTTGTCAAAATAGAGGTAAAACAAAAATTCTCCACTTGAGATAAAGTAGTTTTTTTTAAAGCTTAAATGTTGATATCCAAAGCTATAAAACACATTAATTAACAATATTTAGTGACAGCTTAGTAAATACAAATCATAATTGAAAAGCAATTTTTCAGTTATTTGATAAAGAAGTTGAGTATGGTATATTAAAATAATTTTGGAGCCTCATCACATCATCAGATTCCATGTTGCAACATTTTATCATGCTCTATCTGATGAGTGTGCATCTTTGACAATAGCACTTATTATGTTACATATTGGAAATTTAAATGGTCTGAACTCGAGTTAACTGATAAGTTTAAATTTAGTAGTTCAATCGTACTTTGGATTTAGTAGTTAAATTGAAGCCAATATATAGTCAGTTTATGATATTTGCCAACAAGATTGATACACACCGTTTTAATTTTTTAACACAAATACATTTTAATATACACACAACAATACAATTTACAATAACAATTATTACAAATAGTTATTATAAACAAAAGCTTCACAAACAATATAAAATCTTCTTTCTAGTTTGGAACTCCCTTGATATCTTATCGAGGGTTTACGATGAGCGAGTTAATTTCAAGTCGATGTAGGTAAGATTCGACGGGAAGCTAGCCAGCTTTGTCCTTTGCCACACA